CGAGAGACACACCATTCAGTGAATAGACTCCACGTCAGGGCATAGGCGCGCTCGGGGAGGGGGCTCTAGCCCGAGTGACGGTATTAGCCACCGCAATCGGAGGTTACCTAAGTCTTCCTCGCGTCTAAAAATCTCTTCAAAGATCGGCGAGGGTGCCAGGTGGTGCCCTGTCCCTGAGAGAGTAGGTGCTCTCTCGAAGGGACTGCCAGGGGAGGGCTATCGCGAGGGAGAGCTCTGACATCCAGGTCCGGTTGAGCCAGAGGGGCGCAACCAGCAACCTGTTCCTCGTCCTCCCTGACCATGCACAGTAACTGCGCGAGCAGGCTCACTGGGGTAACGCGTATTGCGCGTGCCCCGAGGCCAGCTGTAAGCCAGTGCATCCGTGCCGAGAGCACTCGGTCAGGGAAAGAACAACTGGCAATGAGCGATCTCGGGGGAAGCAACAGATCGATCTGGGCTTCCCCGAATCGCGCCCATATCAGCTGAACAGACTCGGGGTGGAGTCTCCATTCTCCAGGACGCAAGGCTGCCGTGAGAGCGCATCGGCTGCACGGTTGAGCTTGCCTGAATATGAATGGCGTGCAGCGATTTCAGCCGCGGATGACTCCAGAGGAGCAGACGGCGGGCGAGCTGAGACATGCGGCGAGAGCGCATACCCCCTATACGGCTGATATACGCCACCGCCGCCGTACTGTCCGTCCTGACCAGCACGTGTTGCCGCTCCAACACCGGAAAAAAACGGTGGAGAGCGAGGAACACTGCCAACAGCTCCAGGCGATATGCCAATGCAACTGGGTACCTTTCCACAGGTCCGCAGCCGCATGCCCGCAACGCACAGCCCCCCAGCCCGTGTTGGAAGCGTCTGCTGAAACGACAACAAGACTGGACGCCTGTTCTAGAGACACCCAGGCCTGTAGGAACGAGGGGTCGCTCCAAGGGCTGAGGGCGCGGCGACACAGCGCAGTAACAGAGACTCGGTGTGCGCGCGCGTGCCATGCGCGTCTGGGGACTCGATCGTGAAGCCAGTGCTGAAGTGGTCTCATATAGAATAATCCGAGCGGCATGAAGCGGCTGCGGATGCCATATGCCCCAGGAGCCTCTGAAATTGTTTCAGTGGGACCACTATTTTACTGTCGAGCTCTCTCAGACAGTACAGCATCAGCTGAGCGCGCTCTCCGGAGAGGCGCGCTGCCATGGTGACCGAGTCCAGCTCCAGCCCGAGAGAAGAGATCCTCTGCACGGGGGCGAGTTTGCTCTTTTCTCGGTTGACCTGAAACCCCCACAGGTGGAAGTGCCAGAGCACTTTGTCTCTGTGCATAATCAACTCTGTGCATAATCAAAAGAGAGGGCAATTCAGCCAGTCGTAAAGAAATTGAGTATGCAGATGCCCGCGAGCCGAAGGGGCGCTGAGGCACCCTCCGCGGGCTTGGTGAGGACCCGCGGAGACAGAGAGAGCCCGAAGGGGAGGGCTTTGTATTGCCAAGCTCGACCTTCAAACGCAAACCGCAGAAACTGTCGGTGGCGAGGAAGAGTGGAGACATGGAAATACGCGTCCATCAGGTCTAATGCTGCAGACCAACCCAGAGGACGAACGCACCGGAGGATGCGCTTCTGCGTGAGCATTCTGAACGGCAGCTTGTGCAGGCAGTGGTTCAAAACGCGCAGATCTAGGATTGGCCGTGACCCACCGCTCTTTTTGGGCACGATGAAGCGTGGGCTGTAAAACCCGCTCTCCATCTCGGCTGGAGGGAGCGGCTCGATTGCATCCTTCGCCAGGAGGACAGCAATCTCCTCTCGCAAGACAGGGGCGGACAGGGGGCTGACCCTGGTGAATACACACCCGTGACTTGGGGGGCCGTTTCGCGAACTGAATCGCATAGCCGAGTCTGATTGTGCGTATGAGCCACCGCGAAGAGCTGGCCCGCGCTAACCAGGCAGGCAGAGCTCTCGCTAATGGACTCATCGCTACAATCGCTGACGTACCAGCAGTGGGGCAGCGCGGAGTGGGTGTGCTGATCCGGGAAGCTCGCGGGTCCCACGGAAAAGCTGAAGGTGAGATATTTGCTCTCACTCCAAACCCGAGCTCCGGAGGGGAGGCTCGAGGGGTGGGAGAAAGGAGACCGTCCTCCCAGCGCTCGTGAGCCACTGGCGAAACGCACCGAATCTGCAAGCTAGAAAGCATAGCGTCCCAGACTGGCAGATTTCGGGCTGTCACATCTGGGGAAGTGAAAAGTGCCCTTTCATAATGTTTTCATGGCAGTAAAAAGTGCCGTTGGAAATGGGGCCCCGCCCTCCAGCGGGGAAAGAGCAAGTTCCCTCTTCTCCAGATGGCCTGTCCCAGGGGCGCTTCGCGGTCCGTTGCCGGACTTAGCGGCGTTCTGGGCAGGGGGGCTGCCTGCTTCCGAGGTGCCCGACGCGCTCGCTTCGCCTTAGGCGTGTGCGGGGGCGGAGCAGCTCTCGTAGGCGGGCGCCTTCGGCGAGGAGCAGGTATGAATGGCACGGCGGGCGGAGCGGGCTACGGACCGCCGATAAGACATCACCCACCAACTGCTCTCTCACCGCCTTGAATTCCTGGGTGAATTCACAGACAGTGTCGCCGAACCTGGCTGGGGATATGGGGAAGTCAAGAAAGCGGACTTTGTCGACTTTGCGCATATCAGCCAGGGGTGGCGCTCCTGGACCACTAATGTGGACATCGTCCTCCCCAACGCACACGCAGCGGACTCAGTAGTCCGAAGAGCTAAGTCGGCGGCGGTGCGAAGCTCGTAAGCCTGGGTTGGACCCACCCTCGTGCAGCTCGGCCAGCGCCTGCGCTTGGTAGCGCTGGTAGGTGGCTATCGCATGCAAGGCGGAAGCAGCCTGGCCCGCAGCTATGTAAGCTCTAGCTCCGAGGGAGGTAGATAACTTACAGGCTTTGGATGGGAGACGAGGCGGACCCCGCCAAGAAGAGGCGCCGCGCGGATTTACCGCCATCGCGCACTCAACCTGAGGAATCGCCACATACCCCCTGGCTGTTTCACCGTCAAGAGTGGTTAGGGTGGAGGGACACGCAGCACAAGCAGAAAAAAGTGCTTTACAAGACCGCGTGAGCCTACTGTGCACCTCCGGGAAGAAGGGAACGCCCCTCTAGTCGGTCCGGCCGCGGAGCTGGGGGATAAACCATCTCCAACCCACGGCCGAAGCAGCCCGGGAAAGCACGGCTAACATGTCCGTTTCAGGATCCGTAGTGACAGCGCTCACCAGCCCGAAGGGGGCGAGCGGGTCTGGATCATCATCGGACAATGAAAGCCCACCCTCCGATGCCGCGGTGGACATCTGGTCTCCGGTGTCATCGGGCGTAAGGGCTACCATCTGTTAGACGGATCGCTTCCTCCGCCCGAAGCTTGGATGGAGCGCTTAGAGGAGCGGGAGGTCCGCGGGCCCGTGGGCGACGGATTATCTCTCGCTGAAACCCTCAGATCTGCCCGAGTGCCCGCTGCAGAGCAGGGGACAACTGGGGTGGTTTGCCTTTTTGCAAAGGCTAACCGCGATCTTGCGCAACAGTCATGGCATCGCGATGACGACATGAACTGCCCGCGAGCAGCGCATTAACATGCTGGACCCCCAGACATGTAACACAGTGCCCGCGCCCATCATCCGAGGACAGGAAACCACCGCATCCAGAAACGCACAGTCGGAGCGCCGTCCTGATAAGGACGTGCTGCACGACTGTGTTGCTCTTTCTGTGAAGTTTGCAACTTTATACGCACCGCTCTGGAGGACCGGACCCAAAGAACGCCAGGCAAGGGAGAAACCCAGCTCGACCGTCTGCCGCTGCGTGTACACACTCTGGACCGGGAGAATGCTCTCGTTCGCTCAGAATCGCTGGTCACAGCAGGAGGAACCCTCATCGACTCGATCAGAAAGTCTCTGAAGCGAAAAGGATAGCGTCTGCTGCGCCAGGTGAGCTTATATACTCAGTTGATTGCTTATGCCGCTCACCTGCGCAGGCTTGCGCTGCCAATTCATTCTTAATTGGCCCGTTCAATACTCTTTCAGACGAGTAGCTTCTGAACCGAACCTCCCAATGCGTGGATTTTACAATCAAATCCACTTATAGTGCTGAAGTTCCCCCCGAAGGGGAACAGTAGTAATTGATTAAAAAAAAAAAATCTGAAAATATTGAAGTAACTAACCAATATCTATTTACAAATACAATTAATAAAAATACAACAGAATTAATGCATTAAATAAAAATCTAGTATGTTTAATATTTTATATTATAATGTATTCAATCATAGTGTAATATTTTATCGAGAAAAAATGATAAGCAGGTGAATTCAGGTTAGTCGATCTTTCAAACAGCAGGTGGCACTTGGAAGGTCTGGAAGTGCAGATCTAGCCGTCTAAGTGTGCAGGTCTGAGCGTGCGGTTGGGTCTCCGGGCCTGCAGCTTCATAATGTTGATCTTCCTGCACTGGCTACCAGTTAAAGCTTGCACCAAATTTAAATCTCTGATGTTTGTCTAGAAAATGGCCAAACATTCTGAACTTACTCATTTTTACAAATCTGCATCAACTCCCAAAGCCTCAGGTCAGAAAGTAAGTGCTGCCTTGTAATACCATGACTAACAGGAATCACTTTCCAGAATCTCTTTATTCAGTGTTGCTCTCTGGTGGAAGGATCTCCACAATCTTTTACAGACTGCTAAATTCCTGGCAATTTTCAAAAGGCTTCTAAAACATCTTTTCAGTGAGCATTTAACATAAAAAATAATAATATTCTTTACCTACTTGATATTGAGGCACTTGATCATATAAGTACTGTCTCCTTGTGATGAACTGTTTGGTCCATTGTTAGTTATGAGTTGCTTTGGTTAAAAGCACTTGCTTAATCACTAAAGGTAGCTGTAAAAAAATATATTCAAGACAATGAGAGTTTAGTAGCTGAATGCTCTATTTAAAAAAATGTGTTAAATATGACTGATCTTGTGTCTTTGTTTGCTTTTTCCCTGTTGTTCAGTCAGCGCTACTGTATGTGTAACCCAGACATTGTGCAGCAGTTCCACAATCCTGACACCATCTTCATCCTTGCATTTGCCATCATACTTCTCAACACAGACATGTACAGTCCCAACATCAAACCCGATCGGAAGATGCTGCTTGAAGACTTCATCCGCAATCTAAGAGGTGAGAAGGGTGAAAACCATAGAGGAAAGTGCCTTATGTGGAAAGTTCATTTATTCATATTTTTCAAGGGGTGACCAAATACAGAATCATATTTAATATTTAATGTTATTGCTCAGTGGAAAATTACTGTATGTGATTATGCAGTTTATTATTTGGATCCAGATGTTTACTCTTAGTAGAGTACAAAATCCAGGTGGCTACATTTTGTTGAGCCCATATGTTGCATTAATTCAGCTTAGTCATCAAGTAGTCAAAAAGTTGCAGGGAGCAAAGAGATTCAAAACCGATCTTTAGACCTTCCCACTGTGATTAAATATTTTGTCCACTGATAAATATGTTACATGTCATTTACAGCAGTGGTCTCATGATAATGGCATCAGTAGTCATTTCTTGCTGCAAATTATTTAAAAAAATACATTTAAAAGAAATATTGTTATTGGTTTGCAGAACAAAATAAAGTTATTCTTTATTAATAAATTTAATATTTTTTGTTAATACATTTTTTATTATTAAAAATTCTCAGTGTGGATGGGGGAAAACAGAGACATCTTAAAATGGAGGCGGGGCTGACGACATTCGCCTCTCTCATTGGGGCTTTTCCTCAATATTAAGTAGCCTACACACAGTTAAACTCATTGTAAGTTCAGACTTTGCAAGTTTGATCAAGACTGCAGTCTCCCCCTCCTCAGTTTGATATGGAAAACAGACTACCGAGGACACAATCTTCAAAGGGAACAGTGTACTGTATAACTTCATTCACATCGCCCTGGCTACGTTGTTTCACTTTCTCGACAATAAAATGAAAACATGATTTAAGGAACTGCCTATTTTCATTTTGATATTAGCAACTTGACAGACAGCAGAAATGTTGAGGCGTTGTGCTGCATTTATGAGCAACGTCTTCGCTGTGTGGATATTAATAACAAAATGAAGCCTATAACATTACTGCCTCCTTTCAATTTCAGTGAAAATACGAAACATACCCTCTTTTGCTGAATATCAGTTTTAATAATCAATAATGGCCATTGTAAAAGTATAACATACAATAAGTTTATACATCATAGGAAATAAAGGCAAGCGATCAGTCAATATACAGAATGTAGGCTACGTGGTTACATTAATTATAACTTATCTTTGCGCTCAGACAAAACACATTACCTGGAGAACAAGTAATAGATTCCAATGACCAAAGTCGGGGAATATGTCAATAGATATAGACAAAGAGATGAATGAAATATCACGTTTAATAAATATAGTGAGATTAGATCCAGCAGGAGATGCTTAATGAGCAGTCCGATGAGCAGAGCTCTCATTAGGGTATTTAGGATGCAGCGCTTGCCCGAGAGTGGTTGTGTGGGCGTTTTTGGCGTTTTGGTGTGGAGGGAGAGCTGTTCAGAAACGCTGGGTGAAACGGTAGTGTGGACGCGGATCGTTTTCATTCTAAAACGCTGTTTTAAAACTAAAACGCACTAGTGTAATCGGGGCCTGAGGCACCCCTATGAACTGTTTGAACCACAACCTGCACCGACAAATGTGATGGCGTGTGATGCCAAACTACATCCAAGGCTGTATCTCTGCAATAGTTAAAGATAATGACACCAAATTTTAGGTCTGTCATTGTCTCCTCACATTGACCACACCAAAAACACACCATGGTGACAGCGCTTCCTATGGGTCAAGAGTTATAAGACATTCATTAGCCATTGTTAATGAAACTTACAGATTTAGTAATAACTTTTTACTGCATATGCTCATTTTGATGAAATTGATCTCAAATTGTTCCTAGCGTCATGCCGACAGCACAGATACCAACTATGCCATAATCTGCCAAACTTCCTGTCCGCCATTTTATCAAACCATTTTTTTTAAACTCCTCTTAAACCGTGGGTCCAATCTTTATCAAATTTGACTCATCTTCAGAACATGTAGACCAAAAGTCATAGAATTCATGTTGATAAACAAAACTAAATCATTGCAATGGTTTGAAGTATTGAAACTATTCTTAAACTGTGTGGTCTGACATTGCCCAAACCACATTAGTTTTTGCACCACCTTCTGGGTAAAATTGTCAAACAATTAAATTCTCAATAAAAATCATACAAAATTTATCAAATAACTTTTAAATAGTTTTGTCTATTGTCATGAGATCCCTTGAATCATACAGATAACAATGATATAATTTATTCCCTAATTAACATGACTTCCTGTCCACATCTTAAATTAGTTTGAAAATCTGTTATTTTGAACTCTCCAAAGATTGTTAGCCCAATTTCCAACAAATTTGGCTCAGACTATGCTGCCAAAAAGTGAAAAAAAATGTCCAGTAGCTCTGTAGCTTGTTGCCATGCTTGTTTATAATGTGGCCACTGGACTGCTTGGAACCAATAATTGCTGCTTGCAGCTATATTCATTATTGTTGTTATTATTATCTTTATTTTATTCCACAGGGCTGTTAAATGCTTGATCCTGATTGTATGAACACACCAATCTATTATTCCATATTTATTCTTCTGTTGGTCAAAAAATTGACAACATAGACATACAAGATGTATACACGAACTATGATCAAACGATGATTATTTTGCATGATATTTACACTGTAGAAAATTAGTAGTGATTCAGAAAAAAAAATCTGATTATTAAATTGATTATATATATATATATATATATATATATATATATATATATATATATATATATATATATATATATACATATATATATACACACACACACACACACAAGGTGAGAGCATGTGTGTTTGTTTACTGTATATGTTTACATTAGGTGTTGACGATGGGGCAGATATTCCACGGGACATGGTAGTGGGAATATATGAGCGTATTCAGCTGAGGGAATTACGATCCAATGAAGACCATGTCACTTATGTTACCAAAGTGGAGCAAAGCATTGTGGGAATGAAAACGGTGAGTCAAAAAGCAATTTTTTTCTAGCTAATATCCATAACAACTATTTTTAAATGATACTTTAGTTGTTACAAATTGATAAACAATTCATTTCACTTTATTTTTCAACCATTATATATGAAATTCTTTATAATTATAATCTAGGAGTATTGTTGAATTGCTGTTTCACCTCAACCATTTCTGAGCTCTACATGCATGAAGTAATATAATATAATAATTTAGTGGGCAGCTGGTGATTCATTGTGGCTCATGCCTGTAGCATTTCTGCCAGTCCTCATCACTGCTACAGAAGAACTGTGACTTTAAATAACCTCACAGTTTTTTTTTTCTGCAAAAGGCTAAATGCATATTCTCTGATAACATGTCTTCCCTTATTGAAGTAAGATATTATAATCTAGAATCTAGTTATTCATATTTATATTTTTACACTCACCTTGCACATTTTGACATGTGTTCTACATCATCCAGTGCTGACAAGCTGCAGCATCATCAGTAAATCAGCAGTCAAAACGCACTCATTTGTTTTGAGAATACAATGATAATTTTTCTCCCTTATTTTAAAAGGTATGAAAGTTTATTTTCAACTTACTCTGCATGTGGTACTCTTATTTTGAAAACAGGAGAAGCAGCGAAGTCAAAGCCAGCTGCTTTAGTTAGTTTTTTTATGTGTCACTAAGGGAATTGTTTTGGATATTAGGTAACATATATATAAATATGTATAATTTCCATACCATTTCAATTTCCAACCATATCGAACAGTTTGGGCATGAGGGTGTCCACCAGTGCACATTGCACCAGGGCAGCCTTGGCTGGAGGTTAATAATAGACTGGTTGTATCATCTGACCTATGACAGTATGTCTTGGACAATTGGATGAAAAGAAATCATATAATCATTCAATTAAATAGTGCTTATGTTGTTTTGAAGTTTTACCCACACACTATTTTAGACCAGATATTCAAAGTAACATTAGAGTGAGAGCATGTCACAGGTTGTCAAAAATGAATGTATGATCAAACGATGTGTGAATATAAGTCAAACTTCAACTCAGTAAAGCTGGTTGGGCAGAATCATTATTTACTTATGTTTTGTTATCAAAATAAATAAAAATCTATTTAGAAAAAAGAAGTGCTAAAAACAGGAAATATCCTGTTGTTTTTTTAAATTACAATTGTGTTATCAAGACAACGAGTTACTTTTCATTTTCAATTGTGCTCGCTGATTCTCGTACATTTCTTGTTTTCATCCAATTTATACTTAAACAACCAAATGAATGCTTAGTTCTTTTTAACCAAACACATGATCAATGCTGTAAAAGTTACTCCATGAACTTGAATAGTATCTTTCTCTGGACGTTTTCAGTGCCTGAAAAACACCTCTGTGCATATAAACATAATAAAAGTAATACTTAAGGCATGGTGTCACCCTTCAGATAATTGTTGGTTTGCTTTGAAGTGCATAATTTCATTTCCCTCTAGTTTGCAAAAGTAATGCCGAGATTGCTTGATTTAAAAAAGTTCTGATTCTGCACTTTTATCAGAAGCTCTTTCAAAAATGATCTTTCTTTTAATGGTTACAAGGCCACATTGGTCTTTTAGAAAAAAAAGGTCATGTTGATCCTGAGTTTGTAACTGTAACTCACTCTTTCTGTGATCTGAAGATCTATGCTTCACATGGATGTGCAAAAGACGGATATGTCTGTGTGAAGAGGGTGTGCAAAAATACAAATTTAAGGATTTGTACCAGGATTCACCAGGATTGGTGAAATAACCACAGGAGAACCCATACCTGCTTTTTCTCTCTCCTCTGTCTCTTTTTCTCTCTCCTCCTGTCCCAGTTCCCAGAAGAGAGGACTGGAGTGTGACTCAAGACACTCAAACAAAGCAAGATACAACCAGTTATTAATACCAAAAAGACACCACGAAATGCTTTTTCCAGGCTTTTCCAGGCTTTTTTCAAATTTAGATCAAGCGGCCAATCCAATTTGTTTCATGGCCCGTTTCTTTTTTCCAGCATTCACAGGCATGTCAGCAAATGATGTGCTGCTTTCCATGATCGACTGAATCTAAAAACGACTGAATCAAAAGTGCATTTGCACCAATTACCTGCAATGGAAATACCCTTCGGGAGAATTAGGATGGATCTCATTGGGCCATAAAAATGGTCAGCATGAGGGCACCAATTTGCATTGGTCCTAGTGAATTATGCAATGCAGTACCCGAAAGCGATTGCCCTCTGCAGAATTTCTGCGAAGAGTGTTGCGGAGACATTCTTTCATATAATCTCCTAGGTAAGGATCCCTAAAGAGATCCTCATCGATCAAGGCACCACATTTATGTAACGCACATTGCTGCACGAATTATTGGGCATTAAATCTGTTTGCACCAGTATCTATCACCCACAAAATGGATAGGCTGGTGGAACTCTTTAATTACACGCTTAAGACCATGATTCGGACATAAAAAATTGGAATAAATGTTTAGAGCCCATGTTATTCGTGGTGTGGGAGGTTGCCCAATCGTTTTTCCCCCTTTGAGCTGCGCTACGGCAGACAGTCCCAAGGGGTGCTGGATGTTGTGAGAGAAGCTTGTTAGGTTTAGGGATCTTGATTGTGAAGTGGTGCAGATGGACAGGGGTGGGACACGCAAAATTTATCATCCAAATCTGTTAAAGCAGTGGAGGGAGCCAGATGCAGCGACGCTGTCGACACTGGTTACGGGTGAGGATGACTTGGGGCCAGAGAACAGTGGGTAAGATCGGCCAGGCGCTCTAGTCACCGTTGGGGATCATCTCTAGCCAGCCCAGATCAGCGACATCTGGCTCCTCCAGAGTGAATTTGTAGATGTGTTCTCACCCCTGCCCGGATGGACTAATCTGATTCAGCACCACATTGAGACTGAACCAGGCGTTGTAGTTAGGATATGGCTGTATCGTTTACCTAAAGAAAGTGGTTCAGGAAGAATTGGGAAAAATGTTGGATATTGGAGTTGTGGAGGAATCCCACAGTGACTGCGCTATCTTGAATGTCTTGGTACCTATGACAGTTGGCTCGGTTTGGTTCTGTGTAGATTATCATAAACTAAACGCTTGTCAAAAGTTGACTCGTATCCAATGCCACAAATTGACAAGTTGATTGATCGGTTGGGTGCTTGCTCACTTTTACTTGACATTAGATTTAACAAAGGGCTATTTGAAGATCCCCTTAATCCAACTGTTTGGGGCAGTGCGGGTATGTGGTGGGGAAGGCATGGTCGAACACCCGACAATGATAAAGAGCAGGTTGGGAGACTGGCAGTTAGTAAGTTGGTTGATCAGAAGTCATAAGTAACAGTTGTTTCTTCTTAGTGATTGGGTCGGAGAGACACCTTTTCAGGGTGAGTAAAAGGTCCAGTGGGGAGCAAGGAGAGACCACGCACACACACCCAGAGTGTTAATGTATATGCCAAACAAAAATGTTTTGCTTACCTGAATCACCCACCCTGTCGTCTTCTTCCTTCATCTCAGAAGAGCCTTATCACATGGATGAACATTTTTTTTAGTCTTATGCCTTACCCAGAATATAAAAATACATATAAATAAATTTAAATAATTTATTTTAATCATTAATATAGGAATGTAAAGTGATTTTAACCAGCTACTGCACATTTAAAGATTGTTTAATTCTTTATTTTTGGACTGCTAGTTGACAAAAACAATGCTGTTTCAAATGTCCAAATCATTCAGACAGTTAATAAGTAGAAGATATCAGGCTTTACTTTTCGGTTTAACTGTAAAACTGTATTTAATAAGCAATAAAATCATTGTGGGCCAGTTTGCAGCGGCAATACGTTACTATTTAGAGGAAGGTAGGGAACCAAAATTATTTTGCTTAAGGCCCCCAAATGTACAGGGCCGACCCTGGCTACAATGTACTTCATCCATCTCTTACTCTTGGATTTGTCTTTGAGCAATTGATGTTGTTCCTTTTTGAGTTGGTGTAATAAATTACATTTGCTCAGCGTTCTACACCAATATATCTGTAATAAATTACATTTGCATGCTTTGTTTATTCTCCACAAATAAACAGGTAGCACATCATAATAATAATATAGAATAACTTGCACGCATATGTAGTGATAATTGGATTTATCAAATATTAAAATCAATATTTAGGTATTGGTATTAATATTGATATTTTAGCCTCACACGGGGCACCAAATATGTAGTGATAATTGGATTTATCAAATATTAAAATCAATATTTAGGTATTGATATTAATATTGATATTTTAGCCTCACACAGGGCACCAAATATGTAGTGATAATTGGATTTATCAAATATTAAAATCAATATTTAGGTATTGATATTAATAATGATATTTTAGCCTCACGTGGGGGCACCAATTAATGTAGAAATAACAGACAAATAACTCCTTTTAAACGGGGCACCAGACAGCTTTATACTGTCAAAATAATTAACAATAAAATATTGTTAGTTAAATTATACAAATGAGGAGTTTATTATCTGGCCAAATCTGAAGGATAATGAGATCGTTTGACTTGTAGAGCCTTTTTCTGTTTTATCAACACAAGGAAGACGCAATTGTAATAAAGGTGTATTTATTAACAAAATAGTAATAAAGGGTAACTACAATTACTAAATGTACAATAAATGAAGTGCATAGGCGAGTGATGAAGGTGATTAAGGTAAGGTAAACCTTATTTTACAATAACAAAGAACTGACGAAGTTTTTGTTATTAATGACGATCAGTTATAAACATCTAATTAATTAGAATATTTTATACTGAAACACACTATGCCAAGGTCTAATTTAAAGGGTTGGAAAGTGGAATATTTACGTTTCTGCCTTTGATGCAGTGGATGGAAGAAGTTGGATCTTCCTGCAGATCTTGAAGCATGAAACGAGCAGACTTGGCTCTCTTGAGCTTTGAGTGGAAGAAATCTGTAGTTTCTGGAAAACGCAGACTGGAGATTTCTAGAAGTGGTGGTTCGATGTCATGA